GACGGAAGCTGTTCAGTAAATCACTCCCTCGTGTATGTGTCCAGCTCAAGAGTGCTACTTTGTAAAGTGCAGGGAGTGTCCTCTGGAGCTGGCTGTGTTGTCCCAGATCCTGTGTCCTGCTTTGACTTGTCCTGGTCCCTTCTGTCACATCATCTTTTTCTGGTGGAAGGAGCTAACAGGTGAATGCACTGGTGACATGCATTCCCTGGGGTCCCTGTCTGGTCCTGCTGACCATGGTGCAAGCCTGGGCTTTACCAGTGGCAGCACTTGGAGCAAGCCTGGCTGTGGGCCAGGAGGGACAAGCAAGGAGAAGGCAACTTGGTTCTGCCCTGGCACCAAGGAGGAGATGAACATTTTGGGAGCCACTGACTGGCTGAAATTTTGCCTCTGTGGTCTCCTGAGGCTGTGGTCTGAGAAGTGGTGGGTGTACTTTGAGATATCTCCCAGTACCTTGTTAAGATTTAGCCCTGTGAATACATGTTAGATCCGTACACAAAAGAGGTATCAGGGTTTTGGGGATGAAGTCTTCTGCGGGTAGATAGCAGACAGAGAGTTTGAGGAAGAAGAAAGAGGAACTTTTAAAGGAGATATTCCACAAGACTGGTGTCCCTCAGGGGTCCGTACTAGGACCGGTGCTGTTCAACATCTTCATCAATGACTTGGACAGTGAGATAGAGTGCACCCTCAGCAAGTTTGCAGATGACACCAAGCTGAGTGGTGCGGTTGACACACCAGAAGGCCGGGATGTCATCCAGAGGGACCTGGACAGGCTGGAGAGGTGGGCCTGTGTGAACCTCATGAGGTTCAACAAGGCCAAGTGCAAGGTCCTGCACCTGGGATGGGGTAACCCCCAGTATCAATACAGCCTGGGGGGAGAAAGGATTGAGAGCAGCCCTGCCGAGAGGGACTTGGGGGTGCTGGTGGATAAAAAGCTGGACATGAGCCGGCAATGTGCCCTGGCAGCCCAGAAGGCCAACCGTACTCTGGGCTGCATCAGGAGGAGCGTGGCCAGCAGGTCGAGGGAGGTAATTCTGCCCCTCTACTCAGCTCTGGTGAGACCTCACCTAGAGTACTGCGTCCAGCTCTGGAGCCCTCAGCACAAGAAGGACATGGAAGTGTTGGAGCGGGTCCAGAAGAGGGCTACTAAAATGATCCGAGGGCTGGAGCACCTCTCCTATGAGGACAGGCTGAGAGAGTTGGGCTTGTTCAGTCTAGAGAAAAGAAGGCTGCGGGGAGACCTGATTGCGGCCTTTCAGTACCTAAAGGGGGCCTATAGGAAAGAGGGGGAAAACCTTTTTAGTAGGGCCAGCTGCGTTAGGACAAGGGGTAATGGTTTTAAACTAAATCGGGGTAGGTTTAGGCTAGATATAAGGAAAAAATTCTTTACAATGAGGGTGGTAAACCACTGGAACAGGTTGCCCAGAGAGGTAGTGGAGGCCCCATCCCTGGAAACATTCAAGGCCAGGTTGGATGGGGCTCTGAGCAACCTGATCTAGTTGGCGGTGTCCCTGCTGACTGCAGGGGGGGTGGACTCGATGACCTCTAGTGGTCCCTTCCCACCCAAAACATTCTATGATTCTATGATTCTAAGACATGTTTTTGGCAGGAACTAAGGTGCCTGTGTGTTCAGGTGGGCTGTACAGTGCACTCAGGCCTGGCAAACCTGCTGTCTGGCACACTTCCATCATAGGCAAAACCCAGTTTACAGCTGAGCCCATCGGCCCTGCAGGGCAGCCTGTGTCTGGATGGCGAGCAGCGTTCCTGTCTGGTGGCATTCCCATCTGCCGGTGTTTCCCAGCAGGATGGTATTGCCACGTGTGCAATGAGTGCTCTCATTATTGGAAGTGGGGCATGAGCTCGAAGAAGCAGAAATCTGTCGTGATCCCGGGGTGAGCTTATGCAGTTGGCCATTTGCTGAACTCTTGTTTAGCTTGTAAATGGATTTTCAGACTTGCCCGAAGCCGTCGGCCAGGTGAGCAGAAGGTCCCCTTTAGGTCCTGTCTTTAGGGCCACTTTCCAACATGACCCAGGGTGTGCTCGTGGTGGTGGATCCGTGTGACCTCCAGTCCATAAGGAGGGACCACGGTGCTGCGGGGGCGAGAGACATCAGTGTTGCTCTCTGTGGTCTCTTGTCCCTGACCACACTCGCTGCGGGGTGGACTCACAGCTCCCCAAAATCCTGAGCAGTTCAGATTCCCACTGTTGTTCCTGCTGCTAAATGCAGAGGACGGGTAATGCAAAGCCACGTCATGCCCCTTGGAAAGGGCAGACAGCTACTAAGTGGGAGGAGCTTTCCCTGGGAGGAGGAGGTTTTGCTGTCTGCCACCAGCGTTAGCACAGATGGAAGAATCGGCCCCATCCTGCTCATGTCCCCAGATGCCATGGTCCCTCCTGGGGGAGAGGACAGATAGGAGTGCCGGCAGCTGTGGAGCACAGCCACGCAGGGGCCCGTGCCAGTGTCGAGGGCTGGGCCATCGCTCTGACAGATGCTGTGGCGAGACCATCCGGTCAGGGCCCTGAGTCGTCACCCGTATCCCTGCACACATCTCAGCCCCCAGTGATAAAGCTGGTGTTTCAGGGACAAGGCTGCAGGTGAATCAGCCAAACCAAGCTGCCCACAGGTTTAACCCATGGTCATGCCAAGCCTGTGTCTTCTGTCTTTGCTGCGTGCTGGTGGTCAAGACATCAGCCTCTTGGAGGAGGAGGGAGGTGGGAAGCCATGGGTAATGCGTGTGTCTGGGGCGGTGCCTGGATTGCCATGCCAGGAGCCTTGTAACAGATGAAGGAGCAGTGACATATTATTTTTCAGGGGCTCAGTCACTCGGGGATTCAATCTGTCCGTGAGAGCAAAGCCTCCCCTGGTTGGCTGGGGCTGATTTATTTCCAGGCTCCTCGCGGTTCTCCGGGGATTGTGGCAAACCCTGGGGATTTGAGACCACTTGTGAGTCAAATCTGTTGATGAGAAAACATCTGCTTTATGCCAGGCTGATGTCACTGGGTAGCGCTGTCCTGGTGGCAGGGATGGGTATCAGATACATGTTGGACTAGGCTCCATGCGGTGTGTAACCTTACCACAGCCCAGAGGAGTATTTCTGCTGTGATACCCAAGCTGATGCCAGCCTCAGCGAGAGCCATGAGCTGCCAAAAGGGTGTCATTAAAGGTGCTGGACCCAGCAGCATCTGGGTCAGGCCAGCACATCCATCAGGATGAAGTGCTCCAGGCAACAGCAAGCAGCGCATCTTTCAGCATCTTTTCCAACTTGAAACAAAGCAGGGGTTACCCTGCACTGCCAGGCACAGGGGAGGGATGAGCCCTTCCCAGTGGCTTTCTCATAGCAGGGATTCTGACCCATGCTCTGCTCTCTACCTACCTGTCATTGCAGGGATGTTCCTCCCTTCTGCCCAGGAGCCTGGCATAAGTGTCTGTAACCCCCCTGTAATTCCGTGCTGTCTGTCTGCACGAGGCCACTCATCTCCCACAGCAGCCTCCAGCGCTCAGCGCGTCTCCCTGCCCGACCGCGCAGAGCCTTGTTTGGTGGGAGCCCAGCTAATTGAGTGGAGACCGTACTTCGTGGAGTCCGTCAGAAACAATTTAATTCTGGGTTGTGGAAATTGGCAGCCGCCACAGCTCCTATCCCAGCTCTTGGGTCTCATAATAACGCCAGGACCAATGCTGCTTTTTTTAACCTGCTCTATTTACTTGCCCGGATCAGTGCGTTGCTGCTCAGCAGGAGCTGGCTGTGATGCTGGGCTGGAGAGTGGAGGATACAGCTGCCCAAACCGTGGATCCCAGGAGAGCTCTGTAATCAGAGCTGGCTACTCCTGTTTTTTTTAAATCACTTGCTCTTATTTTTAAATGGGTTCATTCAATTGCCACTGTGCTGTGACCCCGCCGCAACCCCCCTGACCCGCACAGCCTCCCCTCCCCGCCTGGACTCGGATCCCATTGTTTTCCCAGCCCAGAGAGGTGGTGTTTCACAGATGTAAAAATAAAAGCTGTAACATGTGGGATAACAGGG